TTCTAGGCTAAGGTTTTTCATATTGATCCACAGAGCTCTGCAGATAGATGTTTTCTAGGAATCCTTTAAAGGGGTGTGTGTGGGGGGGGGTGTGTGCGCACATGCGCGCACGTATCTTATGGTGACTACATCATTCAATATTTAAGTGATCACACTGGGTATGAAAAGAGAGAGCAGGGGATGAATAAAAGATAATAAAGAACAGAGCAGTAAGAGAATAAGATATGAGAAACATAGGAAAATGAAATAACAGTTGTACCAATTTCCACTCCTGCCATAGCCTGCCGCATCTTCACTGTTAGGGTAGGATGGGAGATGAAAATCAACTTCCTGTTATGCGTATCTATAACATTTGTTTAGAAACGCAATAATAATCATAAAGCAAACACCTGTGCATTCACCAGTCATCTAACAATAAGGAACACTGGCAGGAGCGTCATCGCCCGCCCCTGTGCCTTGCTCATGGCATCCCTCTCCCTCCTCCCTGGATATTCAGTCCTGAAGTTTGTATTTATCATTCTCTTGCTTTTTTTTTTTTTTTATTGTTTTACTACATATCAATAAACCCTTAAACAACACCTTGCTTGGTTTTGCTGGTTTTTGAAAGTCATGTAAATGGGATCATGCTCTGTAAGAATATGTAACTGTGGTTTTCCCTCCTGGTGAAACTCATCCATATTCCTGTGTATTTCTGGTCCATTCATTGTCATTTCTCTATGGTGTTCTTATCCATCCTTTTATGGAGTCTTAGACATGACTCCACCATATTGGACTTTAAGGACTTGATGATCATGGTACCCAGGATGCTTACTTAATACCTATGCCAATAATAGGTGCTCAGTATATGAGAGAAAAATGAGATGAATCTAAGTTTTAGGTGTTTGGTAAAATTACAGGTTTTTCATATTTTAAATGTTTACCAGCATTATCCTGATTTGAATCGTTCCTTCTGTCTCCAAATTATGTATCCAATGTCAACCTATAACAGTGTATTTGTTCCCAAATTCAAAGGCTACACAGGAAATTTAATGCAGCAGTCCAAGTGTTGCCCCTAGAAGTGGGAAATGTACTATTACATTTGCTTTACTGTAATCCAGTAAAAGGCTGTAACAGGAATTTTAGAGAAAAAAATAAAGAATAAAACCTCCACAATTCCTAACCTAATTTCAGTACTTACATAGTTATTATATGTTCCAACTTACTTATTTAAAAAATGGTATAGCCTTCCCACAGTGGCCATCAAATCCACTTCTATGTTCTGGGTGGGCACAGCATCCCTGGAGCCTCCACACCCTTGGCAACTAGCCTAAGGAGGCCCACCTTCAACTCTTGACCTTCCTCTTCAATGGAAACAGACAAAGAGGGGGTGTGCAGCCCTTGCGAAGATGTGTCTACATGCAAGAGGCTTGCAGTAAGCACTGGCTACTGGGGTAACCCTTCCATTCAGCATCTTGTGAGGCTGTCTAAAGAGAGGGAGGCCCCCGAAATTAACAGAGGTTATTTTGCTTGAGTCTCTGGCAATGGTCAGCTTACAAAGGCATTTCTATAGACGACAGAATGACACTGTCAAATGATAAACCTTGGGGCTGGGATGGATATTGCCTTATGAATATTAAAGAATCAAGATCTCCCAAGTAAATATATTTAAGTTGACTTTTCGATAATAGTCATGAGAAAGCTGCACAGCATCAAATTCAAGACTCTAATATCAAAACCCACTTTAGCATTCAGAGGACACACTTCAAATCGGTGGACACATGTTAGATTCAAAGAGATATGCCATAATAGGAGCAGATCTTCAAGACTGACCTGAACTGGAAGAGAAACTAAATAAAAGTTACACAAATACACAATTGCAACAGTCCTGGTAACTGAGTGTGTGCTGGTCTCCGAAGCAGTCTGCAAACCTAATCAGGCTGGCAGCCAACAGTTCTGGGACTGCCACGTTCATAAACTATGAACAGGTGAACGTGGATGACCGGTTTGGACAGATCATGACTCAAAACCTGTGGAGGTGACCATGTGACCTGGCGAGGGTGGAAACCTGCAAGTCCTTAAGTGTCCGAAAGAATGGCTCCTGTAGAATAGACGGGAAACAGTATCAGTCACAAGTAGGATGTAATTGTACAGCAGATTACCTCGGACTGAAGTCAGCAGAATAAGCCCCTTGAATCATGGAGGAAACAGCTTCCAGAGCAGCTCATGCAGCACACTGCCTGTGCTGGAGGAAGCGCACTAAGTCTGAAGGAGATCACGTACTAATCTGCTTAAGGCTCGTGCTGAGCCAGAAGCTACAGCCACTGACCTTCCCAGAGTTGATACACTGAGTTTCCTGAGTGATGGCCTGGCCTTGTCTACCTATCCATCCCACACTCAAGAAACCTGTTACTAGGGCTGTCGAACCACTTCTTGTTCCTGTTGACTTATCGTTTAAATAAATCCCAGTTGCCAATTTAAAAAATTCTGCTTCTACATGCTTATTTGATTGTTTTCTCCTTGGTTAAATTTCCACAATTAAGTTTAAAAACTTTTATAATGTATAGGAAGTGTTATTTAAAAACATCTATTTTGGGGGAGCTGATGAAAAAAACGTAATGACATTAAGCAAATATATACATATATATCATACAGACACGGGGAACAGTACAGTGATAGCCAGAGGGAAAGAGGGTGGGGATATGTGGAAGTGGGCAAAGGGGGACAAATGGGGACAGAAAGAGACTTGACTTTGGGTGATGAGTGCATGATGCAGTACGCAGATGAGCTGGGTACCCTTGAAACCTGTATGGTTTTATGAACCAATGTCACCCCAATAAATTCAAATAAAATATATCAGCCCGGCCGGTGTGGTTCAGTGGTTGAGCATGGACGGAGGAACCAAGAGGTCACAGTTGGATTCCCAGTCAGGGCACAAGCCGGGGGTTGCAGGATCCCAGGTAGGGGGCGTGCAGGAGGCTGCAGCCCGATTCATGATGTTTCTATCTCTCGATCCCTCTCTCTCTAAAAATCAATAAAAACATAAAAATATATACCAGAAAAAGAGAGCAATCTTTAGCTAAAAATTCAGACCATTAAGTCTGATGTTTGAATTAAAAACATACATACATATATTTTAACAACCTATAAAGTTTGGTTCCCAAATGCTAGTTAATGGACCTCTGACAACTTCTTATTAAAGTTTCACTAGCCTAAATGGCGACAAAAGAAAGAACAACAAGAGTGAGCTTTTTGCACAACGAAATACATTCCATTTAAAGGACCGTTATTTATTCCGAGATGATGTCCGTTCTACCTTTTTAATGTCCAAATGTTGTGTTTGAAGACATGATGGTGACAGGAGATGGCATTCATTTGCTTGGCCACTTTGCACGGCCTCAGGTTGTCTCCGCATGTTTGTTTTAATGTTGCCGACCCTCCACATCTGAATGTTCCGGAGCCCTTTCCGAGCCGGCTGCGACAGCCTTTAACACGTGCTCCGGGCAAAGCAAGCGGGGAGCTACCGGCAGGACACGGGTCTCGGAAGGCGAAGCGCACTCGTCTCTACCTACCAGCTATTTATTTCGTTCCGACCGGGTGTCAGGGGAGGCTCGGTACTAACCCCACGCGGAGGGACGCGCGAAGACGAGCGGAGGCGGCGTCTCCTCACCGGCTTTCGGTTTGGCCTGTGAGCTTCCCGCAGTCAGAGCGTGAGGCAGGAGTGAAGGCCCCGCTCCGGCAGCTGCTGGAGGGCGGCGGAGACCCTGGGCGCCGAAAACTGCGGAGAGGAGGGAGGAGGGAAAACTCGCGCTGAGAAGGCAGAGGGGGCGCGGGACCGGGAGTCCATGCCTGCGTGAGGAAGAGGAGCTGCCCAGCGTGCGGAAGGCAGGACGGAGAGGGCGGCGCGGGGAGAGCCGGAGGAGGTGCGGCTGTGGGCCAGGGAAGGGCGGGCCGGTCCGAGTCACGTGCAAATCAGTCAAGTACCCAGAAGACACCGAGAGCAACCTACCTCCAGAGCTGCGGAGAAGGAGAGCGGCGGAGACAAGCGGCGGAGACAAACGTGCCGCCACCGCTCCAGCCCGAGTCAGCGCGGGCCGGGGGTGGAGTCGGACACGCCCCTCGGGCTCACGCATCCTATCGGCTGCCTCGGGCCGCGGGACACGCCCCCTGGTCCAGCCTCTCGCGCGAGCTTCCTCCCGCCCACCTCCGAACTCGGCCCG